CCGGCCTTGAGTGTGACAGGGGGTGGTGCCCCAACCCCCCAATTGGCCCTACCCTAAGCGTTACTGAGGGTGGCATCGCAACCTCCCCATCAGCCCTGCTCTTGGCATGACAGGGGGCGGCACCCCAACTCTCCAATCAGCCCTTCTCTGAGCTCTACCAGGGGCTGCACCTAGGGTTTGGGCCTGCCCTCTGCCACCTGGGAGCAGGCCTAAGCCAGCAGGTCGTTATCTCCCGAGGGGTCCCAGACTGGGAGAGGGCACAGGCTGGGCTGAGGAACCCCCCTTTCCCCCCGAGTGCACAAATTTTTGTTCACCGGGCCTCTAGTTACTTATAACAGGCTTCTTCAGTATCTCATGTCAGTGTGCTCCGGTGGCCTGGGCTTACACAGGGGGGTTACAAGGTGTTTATCAGGAGTTAACATGCAGGGTGTTACAAGTTACTTATCAGGGTCTCACACACACACACACACATTAAGTTCCTCTTCTAAGTAAAGTTTAAAATTCACTCTAATAAAGAAATGAAATTTGATTATGCTATCTTATACTAACTAAACTTATTAGTATAACATTAATAAATATAGGTGTTTTCCAAGGCGATAAGAAGGTGTGACATAGTCATATATGCAAGCAGACAAGAAAAACTACCAAGAAAGTAAAGCAGACTTGTCCAACAGTGTCTGATAGAGATTGTCGTTATCAACTTAAGTTTGACCAGTCAGGACTATCATGTAATTTTTCCCCAATGTGCAGCTGTTTTGGTAAAGGACAGAGTAGATGAAACAAGAATGAAGATATGCCACTCAAGTTCAATTAAGGAAAGGAGGAGCAAAAAAAGGAATAAAGTGATTGTAATGATGGGCTATGGATATTAGGCTGGGTGAGGAGGGAAGGAAGGGAGATCCATAGATTTGAGATCTTACTAACATTTAAGAATCACTGGTGTAAGATACAATAGCATGTAAATTAGAGGGATCATTGCGCTGTCTCAAAAGAGGAATGTTTAAAATCAAGATAATTTTTCTTTTATTACAGGTTATTTGGCTTTATTCAAAGTCCTGATGGTCAAATATATTCACTATTCATAATTTTCCAAATTGTAGAAAATATGGCATACATGTCATATCCCAATGGGATACAGGTGACGTTCTTTAAACAAAAACAATAATATTTCTGTAGCAAAACTATGATCCTTCATATATAGTGGGATAAATAAGGATTATTAATAGCCTAAAAACCAGTCAGATTAGGTCATCTTGCCAAGTCAGTTCAGATCTGGTCAGATTTGGCCTCAAATGAGTAACCAATAAATAAAAAAAGTTTTCAGAGCTATTTGATTTTGGAATTCAGATAACAGATTATGACTACGATAACCCTCTGTGCCCAAAGTCATTTAATTTTTTTATTCTCTTTTATTTTCTCTTTTTCTCCAAGAGACTTTATATACCCCATGAGGAAGACAGTCATAATGCTCAAACAGGCATAATTTAAAGTGATATTTCTCCAATATCACACATTTACCATTGATTAACTAGAAGAATAGTTTTACATACAACCCATGACTAACTTAACTTATAAAAAATGTGTGGCCCTGGCTGGTATGGCTCAGCTGGTTGAACATCATCCCATGCACCGAAAGGGTGCAGGCTCGATTCCAGGTCAGGGCACATGGCACGGGTTGCACAGCTCAATCCCCAGTAGGAGGCATGCAGGATGCAGCCCATCACTGTTTCTCTCTCTCCCTCTCCCTTCCTCTCTGTCTTCAAAATCAACAAAAACATACTTTTAAAAAATTTATGTGAACAAAAGTAGATGTGTTTCTGGGGACAAGGAGGAGTGGGGGGAATGATCCCTGAGTGTACCAGCTCTGGAGTGGCTCTGAAGTCAGCTCTCACTCTCCCGTTTACATTTGTAGGAAGGATCCACGCAATAGCTGTGCTTCAATCATCCTTAGAAATGCTCTGTCTCACCCCCTATTCTGTTAGTGAATTGTAATAAAAAAAAAAAAAACCGGGGTTGAATGTGCTGGAAAATACACATTATGATCCATTGTGTAACTGTGTAATTACTGTACTATACATGCTAACCCAAAGATGGACTAAAAATGGAGAATTGTACAAAGTTGTGGCTAATCCTAAACCAAATCCAGCAGACAGTTGAATTGGACAATTCTGATATTCTGCCAAGGCCAGGGCTATAGATAACTGACCTGGGATGGGATGAAAATTTAGATTAAGAAGTTGATGAGTATGTCAAGTTTATTCAGAACGATCTCTTAGGATGGGTTGTTAAAAAAAACCAAAACTTTGTATATCCTTAAATTTTTATAATCTCTCCATGTTTCAAACAGTGTTCTATTACAACATTTAGCAATATTTTACCATGTTGATGAAAGTACCAACCTTCTTTTTTTCTTTGTAAATTATTGAGGCGAATGTGTTTTTCTTTAGGATAATTTTTCTAGCCCGACATTCCTAAACAACTGCAGTTTGCAAAGAGAGGGAATCATTAATAATTTTATTTTTCCAAAAGTTTAAAGAAACCGTATATTTAATTATAAAAAAAACTAAGGAAGATAATTAACATTGCAAGTATATTCCTGACAAAGTCCATTCCAGGTTGGAGAAAGAGTGAGCAAAGGTAGAAAGGTAGAAAGATGCATATGTCCAGGATGTTTATTCCAGCAGGACAGAGCATTTAGGTGGAATTAATGGGAATGAAGAGCAAAATGAATGTCACAATCTAGTTTTGAGGTTCTTAAATGCTAGCCTGAAGAACTGGAATTAGTTGTCTGCAACAACAATGCAATTGAAACGTTTTTGAATAATAAAATGGCATTATCATATTTATGTAGCTTTTTCAATAGGACTCAAACCACTTTATATTCTTCTGAGTCATTTAATATGTCTTTGGATTTGGGGTAACATCAAGCTAATTTGAGTCCTTGCCCTAGTTTTCACTGGGTTCCAACACCTGGAGTTTACAATTAGTCTGACAGTAACACAAACTTTCTGAACTTCATTTTGCTTATATTTACTGGGATATTAACACTAATTTTAAGAAGTCCCTGTGAAGATCAGATGAAAAAATATATAAACCACATTATGTAGTATATGGCACCAAATAGATGCTCATTATAAGTCAGTTCTCATCCCAGGCCTTCCATGTCTTCTAATAATTAGAATGATAACATCAGAAAGAAAATGTCCCCATGTAAACCTTTTCTATATACAATTTAACAGAATTTATTTGGCAGCTTCTTAGACCCTAAAACACAAAATGAATAAAGTAAGTCTCCTCTTCTCGAGGATTCTGTAGCTTATTAAAGAAGGCGGAAACCACATTGGTAACCAGAACACCAAGTAAGAAGAGCTAACAAAATACCAGGGCACAGAGAGTGGGAACTAATCCTAGTTAGTGACCTGGGAAAATATCAGGAGCTTGTATTT